ATCATATTATGACACTGTCACCTGTAATTCCATCTCCATAATACCAAAATATTTTAAACCGCTAATCGTCATGTAGAAATTTTCTTCCGAAAGTTTTCTAACAACATCTCCGAAACCGAATACGTCTTGAGAAAAAAAAATTACCTAACGTGATTATGGGACAACCGCAGCGGACAAGGCGTTATGCAAAAGGCATGCTGAGCACATTTCGCAACGATTTCATTTTATAAAAATTGCGTTCCGCTTCACATAACATATCGGGATCCCGTCAATCATCATTATTCGGCTCATCCTCCGCGAGATTCTGCACCCCGGTGTGTTTTTGACTTTTGCATTCGATCGCGAGGCCGAGTGTGGTAGCCGAGGCCGCGATCGTCATATGACAATACTCGGCCGTATTCGCGGCAGGCAAGGCTTAAGGCCGAACCAATTAGCGATCGGTGCGCCTCAAGTCGCCTCCACCGCGGTGGCGAGCGCGCCAGTCTCAGTCTTGCTTTCGTTCGCGCGGCACTCTCTTTAAGTCGTCGCTCGCCGGCATCCGCGACTTTTTCCGATCTTGGTTCGGATACATATTCATGCGGCTGCTGGACTCTCTGGAGACGTTTTGCATCTGACGACCGACGCCAAATTACGTTATGAAAATGAAGATGAACCTCAAGTACTGGATCATTGCCCCCAAACAGACTTTTTATGTGCAGCAAATCGAGTCGTTCAAATTCAAATCGCAGGAGTCGTTGGACTCGGCTTCTTCGAGCTCCTCCTCATCCGGCGATTATGATTCTGAGGTGAGACAAAAAAATTATGGGGCAAAATTGACAGTGAATTTATTAATCATACTTTGTTGAGCTTGATTGAGTAGAACTTTTAACATTTTCAAGGTTAAAGTAAAATTCACGATTTGTTTTAATCGTATTAATAATTTACCAATTTTTGGCACATACATAAATTATAAATCAGTTAATTAAATATTTATATATATTGATTGAGCTACTCGATTTTTAATTTTTATTAAATTTTACGTACAATATTTACGGGGCTTTTTGAGCGTTTAAACAAGAGTTGATAAGGCAGTGTGTCACAAATGCTTTTTTTACAAACAGCACTTAAACGCGGCTACGCAAACAATTCCATTTTTTCATAATTTCAAAAGCTCATTTCCAAACCATATTTCAGCAAAGCATTCCGAAATAAATGACAAATTAAAATTTTTTCACTTGCTCACTTTGAACTTGACACGAGTTATTTTAATATTGTCGCATTGTTACTACTTATGCAACCCGCTGAACAAAGCTGCTGCGCCGACTGCCGAACTTCACCCCTTGCACCCCTTGACCGTCACCCTGTGGCTTTATCTCGGAACAAATATTGACTACCGATCTCAGGCTATTTTTAGCTTTGGCCTCCGCGCGCATAAATTGCACCCTGTTTCGTTCGACGACAGAAACACATTTTATCCGAAGGTCCTTTCTATCGCTTGCTCGCAATCGAGTTGGACTCAATAACGAATGCATAAATAATAACAAGTCCACGCACCGATTTTACACGTCAATTTCAAGAGCACGCCCTATTTACGTACTAATGAAATTCCGATGCGTCGTCGGGTTTTTTTCTATATACTTCACAGAAGCCACCGGAAGCGGAGAAATGGAAATTTCTCTGATTGCCTTCCGAGTAATTACCCGTTCTGAGGATGCGTATAATTTGATCTCCAGACGGCATTTGATTATTAAAAGGAATGCGATCGTGTTTTTCAATAAGTGGGACACCTGTGATGTGTGTGTACGTAGTTTGATGGGAAAACAAAAACAACAACGCCGGGTAATAGCACACAGAGAGATAGTTTGACCAGCAGCAAAGCCTTTGCCTCGGAATTCGTTTTATTATATTCCAAAACGCCGGCGGCCAAATACCTTGCTCAAGCCAGACGGAATTATTCGCGTACACCAGCACGGATTTTTGGGTCAATACAGGCATGTCTGTGAGCGGGAATTTCACCACTGCTTGTTTATGAAATCGTCTGAATCGGAGAAAATCAATGAGGAAAACAGTTCTTTGTGCACTCGATTTTATATTTTATCAGAAATTTTGATTCTGTTTTTTTCAATTCCCGTTATTCATTCAACAGCATGGAAAAAAGCCGAATCTGTGAATCTGTTTTCACGCGATAAAGGGCTTTAAATATCCGCCGCTCTTTCATTTCCTCGTCATATGACGGCTGGGAGTTCCGTTTTTGAGGGCCCATTGATTCTCCGATTCCATTGATTAGCTTCACCATTCACAATTCGATCGGTGGGCGCCGTGAAACATTTGTCTTTGCTCGTCCTAGATGGGTCCCGTTGGCCTGCACATGATAACAATTACATCAGCGCGGGCTTGAGAAATCGTATCTTTAATAAGGCGATCAATGTTTGGCCGTTGGCCCCTGTCACGTGGAGAACCAAATTTTCTTACGTCACGTGTGGTAGCACGTCGCTGGAGCTGCTGTATATATTTGCATAAGACCTGCGGTGATGTTGATTCGGGGATTATTAAAAAGTTGGGTTTAGGAACACGCCACTTCACAGAAGCTCTGCGTGGAATTTTTGTATCAGTTCTGTTCTCTTTTTGAAACAAATGAGGGCAAAAAGAATGTATGTACAAATATTGATTTTTCTTTGATAATTGAAAAATATTAGTATTTTCCTTGATTTCTAAACAACAAAAATCGAATTTTTAATGACCTAAATAAAGGATTGCATTGAAATCATGAAATATTTAATCTTCTGTATAATGTTTTTTTTATAATTTATAAGTTAAAAGATTAAAAAGAAAGTTGCTGTAGATATCTTAATTTGCTGCACAGTTAATTAATCACAATTTCACACAAGCAACATATGTTTACCCCTGCCGTCGCCGCCGTCAAATCGCATTGCTCAAGCGGCAACACAGTCTTTGAAGTACATTTCACATTGCCCAATTGGAATTCTTTCACATCATAAATCAAATTACGCGCTAATCCGTCTGATCACTCGAATTACGGCGGCGCAGCAGGGGGCGCAATTTCACCAGCATTTGAATCGTGAGATTGTTCATTAATAATCGTTGCGACAAGTCTCCTTTTCTCGCGTTCAAAGCGTCTCTTTAAAATCGTCCGTCGGCCGGCTTGCAATGAACAATGAGAAACGGGCATGGGGAGGGGGCTTTTGTTCCGCAATTTCGTCATCTCGCCCTTGATGAAGAGCGGTGATAAAGGGCATTGTGATGACTGGCAAATTGAATCAGTGCGACATCCTCTTTGACCTTCGCCTTCCCTCTCGTTCTGCTCTCGGCGAAAAACAATGAGATGTTCAAATGCATCGTCGCGCTGCGACCATTATGGTGTTAAAATAATTTTTAAAAGTGTGTGTTTATTTCTCGTTACGTGCGTGTCTTGGGAACCGAATGATTCACACGCGTGCACGTGAATAAACACATACGGATGACGGATTTTTAGTCGATTTCACAATTTTATGAATAGAGAGCTATGGTCATTTGAACGTGAATGTAAACTATTTCTTGAACATTTTTATTTATTTACTCGTGCAATTCTTTGAAATTGTGTTGTTGTTAGCAAAGGAATTCGTTTCAACTTTCCAAATACTTGAAATTTCCTGACAGGTTGTTGACTTCACAGGCAGCAATTAGTCATTTTATTCAACTCTTCCCAATGCCTTTATCGGCCCTTTTCTTTTTTTTTTTCATTAAAGATAATTTTAAAATTTTATACCTAAAAGATAAGGATAATCCAGAGCACGCTTGATTTTACAATGTGGCCATTATGAAACTTCAAAATTAATTCAGAGCAATAGTCATTTTCACCTCTAAAAGTCAAAAAGATAATTTTTATCAGCTTCGAATCATGTCGTCCTGTAAAAAGTACAAAGCTCAAAGTGCAAGAAACGCGTCGGCCGTGCTGATTGTGTAATTGCCTCTCTATCACAACTGGGTTTATTGGTTGCAATTTTTCTCCTTAACACGCACTCGGCGACCTTTTTAGAGAGATAGGAAATCCCAGGCTTTTCTTTATCCGCCCAAAATCCATTAAGCGAATTCGCAAGATTTATTCCGATCGGCGCGGCAAAGTGACAGAAAACGTCGAAGGCAAATGGAGCTGCCGCGTGCAGGAAGGAAGGAGCTGTTGACATTGAGCCCTCGCGCCACCGACCCGCGATCAATGAAATTTCACCTTCATAGGGCTCTATCCTTTCACGCGGCACTCCAATTTTGCGAATTTCTTGGAACATAGCCCACTTTGCGCGTTGCCTTGAATACGCGATCAGACCTGTGTGAAATCTTAATTAGCCGAATCAGGAAAAAGGTCGATCTGTTTATCCTTCGGGAAAATAACAATTTGCATTTTATATTTATTTCTGCCCTTTTGGTATGTAATCAATTTCGTTCTCTTTCCAGCACACTCGTTAAAAATTCACACCGCAGAGGCGAGTCGAGAGGAAAATAATTTTCTCGAGCGATAAGCACACAGATCGAGTGACTCTCGCTGAGCAGACGCCGCCTTCGAGATAGATTAAATTCCTGAATAATTAACAAACCATCTCTCAGTGCAGTACACATAACATGCATCAAAGGCTTGCGCTGCGCTCATTGATATTCGCTTTGCATCTCCGCTACATTAACACTCACTCTCTTGGCTGCAGCGCCTTTATTCCTCAAACAACATTTTCCCCATCCACTTTTTTGTGCCGTCGTGAAATAAAAGCCGGAGAATAACTTTGTCCTGTCGTAACAATAACAATAGTAATACATTCTAGCACGTTTATGATGATTATTATTGTTTAGCCAAGCAGATAAACCAGAAAATTGTTGCACCATAAAACGATAAAACTTTTCACAAAAGCCCGACGTGAATCACTGGGTTAATAAAAACTCGAATAAAAAGTTTTTCTGTCTTAATTCGCCGAATGCGATTTGCATGATGTGACTGCTGACCTTTTTATTGATCCACGTGTTTTTCTCTTTCACAGGAGGGATCAAGCTCTGGCCTGGAAGGATCTCCCAGACTAGGACGAGGCAAAAATGAACGAGGGGGACTCGTCGGTCTGCGAAATATTGGAAACACAGTGAGTATACACATTTTTTGACATTTTCCCTTCTACAAAAACACCGCGAGCCATGTTACATGTTCAACTTCATGCTAGAAGTGAAGCCTCGCTCTACGCTTTTAACCTCGTTTTTTTTTAGTGCAAAGCAGGAAAATTCTATCGGGTTGTTAAAACTTTTGTTAATGCTGGTCTATATCTCGTATTCCTCTGCTGTTAAATTTTGCCACGTTCATTAAATCAAACAAATACTCTGTAAAATAAGCTGCACAAACTAGCCTCCAGTTTTTCTTTACAAATGTAATCTTTTATTTTACAGAATTTTAAATAACCTGAAATTTCCAAAAAGATGTTACATACCGTTTTTAAGTATCGTTTTTATATGGTTAATAATTTAGTTCAAAGGAATGTTTATGAGGGCAAGTATAAACCCATTTATGAACTCATCCAAATATATTACAACAAATTTATCACTCGCACTAATAATTATTGACCTCTTTTTTTGTTCTAATCACAAAAAATGTAGACAGTTTTTTGTTGAAATTGAATACCTGTAATCTTGTTTAATTGGTGGTATATCTAACAATCCTTTTGATTATTTTAAAATGAGAAAATCATAAACGCATTTTTCTGAGGATTGTTTTTATTCCTAAGATTAGAAATCAATTTAATACCGATTTTACAACTTAACGACGCATAAAAAACTAAAAATAGGAACCATTTTTCTGCTCGCATTCACAACAGTGGTCGTAAAATGCGCTTGTTGTTGCTGCTTTTTTATTCACCGTCGAGCAGCTATTAGCAAAGTGTCCGTCTTATCACTGCTCTATTTTATTGTCGGCTGCGTGCGGGGGCGCCAAAGCGAATCAATCGCAAGGGCGTCGTCACTCGGCAAACACAAAACACGCGGCTTCTGATACTGCCAAGTTAGAAGAAAGCCCTGCCCTTGTCGGGGGTCTCTTGCAACGGTCGCACAGAAAAATTTCACGCATTTTATTGTGGTGCCCACCTAATTTTATGGCACTTCCGCGGTGCACGCGCACTCTGGAAATAACGCCTGTTGGAAAGGATATTGCTTATCGCCAATATGCTTCCCTTCGCGCCAGACATGTTCCGAGAAGAACGGATTGATGACGATTGTAGATCTATAGTTTTGCGCAATTCATTCTTATCAGTTATTCAATCTAAGCTATGTAATAAACAGTTGGAATTTATTATTAGCCACTAAAATTTCTAATGACGTTAGTTTTTTATCAATTAAAATGTCGACACTAAAATTGTCTTTTTATCACATATTTTTGGCCTTGCTTTTGTTTGGAAGCAACTTAAGTGCGATTTAAAATTGTTCTACTTGAACATGAAATATTAACTGGATAAAATAAAATAAAATATCAAAAATAAATGCCTTTTATTTTTTTTCAGTGCTTCATGAACTCTGTGCTGCAATGCTTAAGCAATACCAGGCCCCTTTTGGAGTACATTCTAGCAGAGGGTTACCTCTCGGAAATCAACACAACCACGTCAGCAATGAAGGGTGCACTCATAAAAGGTATAATATTTTGTGTTTGTTAATAAAATTTTAATATTAATAAATAGCACATTGATTAATTTATTAAAAAAATTATGACACTTTTATAAAATGAAAATTTTCATTTCAGCATTTGGCTCTTTGCTGCAAGAACTTTGGAAGGGTGACAGTGACGAGCGCGTGGTCAACACGAGCGCCTTCAAGAGCCAAGTGCAGCGTTTTGCGCCGCGCTTCATGGGCTACGCGCAGCAGGACGCTCAGGAATTTCTGCGCTACCTGCTCGAGGGTCTGCACGAGGATGTCAATCGCGTGACCACCCGCCCCAAACCCATCCTGACCGAGATTGATGACTCCCTGAGCGACTCGCAGAAGGCCATGGAGGCGTGGAAGCGCTACCTGCGCAGGGATGACAGCAAGATTGTCGACATCTTCGTCGGCCAGCTCAAGTCGACGCTACGGTGCACCGTGTGTGGCCACTGCTCCGTCACGTTCGATCCTTTCTGGGACCTGTCGCTGCCCATCCCTTCCAGTGAGAGACACGGACAGGTTCGACTTTCCCAGTGCTTCGACCTCTTCACCAAGGAGGAAGTCCTCGATGGAGATGAGAAACCTGTAAGAACTTAAATTAGTTTTTTAACAATTCAATTCTATATGCAATTTTCACTCATTTCAATATTTAAAATAAAAAATTAACTGATCTAAAGAAAACAAATTATTTCCATATTTTTAAAACTCCAAAGGATTTTACATCAAAATTTATGTCCAAATCAATTAACCCTCTTCGTTTGTTGTAGACTTGCTCCCGGTGCCAGACCAGACAGAAATGCACCAAGAGTTTTTCGATTCACAAGTTCCCTAGAATTCTCGTTCTGCGTAAGTAGAAATAATAATAAATTTTGATGTGTTGTTTTATTTTCTTTGATGCGTCTTTTTGTTTGTTTATATGTTCCTACAATGAAATCTATTTCTTATTTTAGACCTGAAGAGGTTCTCGCCCATGGAGAGGTTCCGAGGCAAACTGAGCTGCACAGTTGACTTCCCCCTGCAGAGTTTGGACCTGAGCGCCTATGCCTCTGCTAGCAAGGGCAACAGTCTCGGCCAGACTACCGCATACAACCTTTACGGAGTGGCCAACCACTCTGGCACCACCTACTCCGGCCACTATGTGGCAGCTTGCAAGCATCCCTACTCTGGTGCTTGGCACGAATACAATGACTCAAGGTACACAATCTTATTAGATATAAAATTTATATTAAAATATAATAGGTATTTTTAAATATCAATAATTGTTAATTATTTTGTTTATTTTAATTTTTTAAATTTAATATTGCCTTGAAAAAATATATTCTGAATTCTGAAATAAAATTATAAATCTATTTATTGCATAATTTTAAAAAAAGATTTCAATTATCAATTGTAATTTTTCAGGGTGTCAAGCACCTCAGCACGCAGTGTAGTCAGTTCTGAGGCCTATGTCCTATTCTACGAGCTGGCCTCGTCGAACACAAACAGCACGTCATCGCACCTCTGACCGTAGCATCAAGCAAAAGGCCACCTTGTCCCCCCGACGCCCCCGCCGACCCCTCGTCAAAAGCAGCCCCAGCAGCAGCAACAGCAGCAGTTATCCGCGGTCACCCTGAATCACCACCTAAGACAGTATTTGAGGCGACTCGGCTCAGAGTCCACCTGCATTTCGTCGTGAAACCAGTTTGAAAAAAAGAGTCTGTGCAGCTCTGCTCTGGCGGGACTGAACACAGTTTGAGTATTTGAAAGTTATTATCATTATTAGCAAAACAATTTCAAAAGAAAAAAAAATGTTATTGAAGCCGCTTTCATGATTTTCATTCGAAGTTGAGCAGACTAGCTTTGAATGTGTAGTCGCAAAACCACGAACACAACTACAGAGAAAGATGCACACAGAAACACACACCTTGACACTCACCTTCACTCGAAACTGCTCCTCTGAACAAGGAAGACCATCTTGGAAAGTGACTGTTTTGCAGCTAGTGCCACTCACTTTGGTGAACAAAACACCGTTTCATTTTTGAGGAACACTTTGGGTGTAAATTGGCTTACATTTTGAGAGCCAAAGATTTCATATTGAAACATAAGCTTTTGCTTAGACCGGAATGGCCACTGAAATTCAAAGCTCTCGTGCAAGGATCCAAAGTTTCCTCAAGGGTGAAATGGTTTTCCTGTTGGAAACTAAGTTGCTAGGACTTCCAGCTGGTCCTATTTAATTATTTATTTTTGCTATAGTCTTACTATGGGTGAAATGCGAAGTGGTTGAATTAACATGTGAATGTATTGAGAGAATTACGCCTGATGGTTTATACTCCGCTTTTGGTTGAGATGAGGCAAAGCCAAATGAAGCCAAATTGCCATTGTGCAAGGAATTTGTTGATTTGGAGTATTTTGCTACCGTGTAGCAGAATCAACGAAGCTCCCTTTTTGGTCTTGTCACTGCTTACAAGCTTGATCAAAATTGCCGAGATGCATGCAAAATCTTGACTTTGTAATTCGGCCACCTTTTTCTGCTGAAGCGCGTGATTATTTTCAAGCGTGAATGGAACCGAGAAAAATTTGCTGTTTATTTTCGTGTCACTCAACAACTTTTCTATGGTGATTTAAATGTGGAACAGCAGTTTTTGATACTTAAAAAAAAAGTAATAAATGCTGACAGTAAACGGCTAAACAGTTAAGATGTAATTTTACTATGGAAATACAACTACAACAACATAAAAATATGTCAAATTTGTATTGGTCTAAATCAAGTGAATACTGATAATGATAATAATTGTAAACAAGAAGAAAATCCAATCTGCTTATTTTTTATGAAAAAAAGAAGGAAGGGCAAGGGAAATGCTATAAATCATGTATTTACAAACACCGGAAAGAGAAGAAAATGCTAGTCACTGAAACAAATTTCTGTAACTTTCAATTAAGCTGCATAAGTTTATCCACAAAACTGGAAGATGAAAATGTGCTTTCACCATTTTTGCTTCATGATAATTGTAATTTTAGCACCAAGTCATACTTTTTCTCTCACTCTCAATCGCCTTGTTTATTTATCTAAATGTGCTCATCCTGAATGACATCGACAGAGAAATTTGATGATTTTCAGTCGAATTCACCCCATTGTTTCCCCCACACGCCTACTTGTAATCATTTGCACTCTGCGTCGAATCATGCTCTTAAAATGATAATTTTATTTTTGTCACTCAAAACTAATGATTGTGTACTCGAGACGAAGGAGCGTCTTGGCTGGACATTATTTATTTTTCAACTTACTTCCTCTCTCGTCTACTCCCTTGTGCCCACCCTATTTCTGTCCACATTCGTGCTGTTAAGTAATTATTAATCATTAATTAATGTGATTTATTATTAATGAGTAATGAAAGAAAATCAGTTTAATGATACGTCTCCCATTGTAAAATAAAAAGCGAGTGTGTAAAAAAATGTAAGAAGAAAAACTATAATGTAAATGAGGGGAGTTCATTTTTGAGATAAAAATATAAGTTCAGTACATCATGAAATTCCTGATGTGTTTTTATTTCGCAATCAATCACTACCCCTCCCGTCTGTTAATCAATTGAGGTATTGACGCTTCCAAGATGAATTTTAGCGCTGTGATTGGCGTACAGACGCCGGTCAAGTGGGGTGCGCTGTGTATTGCCGATGCAGGAATGCAGTCCCGCGTAATTGTATTAATCTCTCTGTTTCATGCTGCTAATATTTATTGTGGCAAATAATATTCCTCCATCGCCGCAGACACCATACATTATGTTAATATACGCGATCACGATGTCAAAAGGGAAAATGTATAATTTCGCATCCGTCTCTCGCGATGGCCGGCAGCCAAATTCTATTCAAATGATGCTAAAGCATACCATCAAGTACTTTACTAAATAATAGTGGTGATAATACGGGCATCTCGCGCGCAAAAACGTTTCCAGTCGATTTTTCTGTGTGCTTCACTCATAAATCTTTGATTTTAAATTCTTCGGAGGCATGATTCAAAAAGCGCTTTTCTGCGCCATTGGCGGGTAATGCCATAAAAATCGACAGCGCCCGCTTCAAAATCGACTTCAGATTTTTTTTATGAAAATGAGCACCAATTTATAGTCCACGAATAAATCTTCTCAAAGTTTCTTACATATTTTGGAGAGAAAAATTGAGATAAGTCTTATAGTTAAAAAATCTGGACCCAACATAGCTATAAAAAACTGTCATAAAATAATTTTGTAAGCTTCTAGGGATCCGTCTCTCTAATTAGTTGTTTAATTAACCCGTTCAAAAATTCCTCTTAAAATTGGAAAGAAAAAAAAAACCATCGGAATTAAAAAATATCAAGTAATAAGAAAAACTTTTACAAGATAGGCAAGATACTATTATAGACGGTCAAATTATTTTGAATAATACAATTAACCACTATTGTGGAAGAGAGTTTCTTATTATGGGATCAACCCCAGACACTATATATTGTTTTCTTTTGTCTTTTGCAGGAGAAGTAATTAATATTTTTGAGGTTATTATTATTTAGGTATAAATTAATTTGGGAATCATTTGACCCTCTGAAATTCTGAATAAATATTATTCCAAAGAATGGAAAATAAATTATTTTCTTTTAAGGATTATAATAATTATAACATATGATATTATGTAAAACAAATTTATTTGCTTGCTTTTTATTTCAAATAGTGATAATCCCTTATATTAGATACAGTTTAAAAAAATTTAAAATATTCGCAGGTTGGTATGTTTTTTTTATAGATAAATTTGATAGCATTTATCTTTTAAAGAGTATTTTGTGTCCAATTAACGTCAAAAACAATTAAACCGCAGGTGCTTCTTCTACCGATCCTTGTTCATAATTGTTATCGGCAGCATATTGTTCAAGTGATCTATACTCTTTTTCCTTTTAGCAAATTGGCCACCAAGAATTTCCTTGGCGTGCATAGTCTGTGCGGCTGCCAGAAGAACAGAGAGAAAACACCCACGGCGGAGAAAAAGAATAAAAACAGCAAAAAGGACGAGCGCCGACGAATTTTGCGAGACGAGTAATTGATAGGTTCGCACGTGCCCACGGGCTGGATTGCGCCAGTCGAATAATATTGATATGAGACTTGGTGCGAGAGACAAGCAACAAAAAGATCTGACGAGAAAAATTAAAATCTATGGCTCGCTGAGATTATTATAAACATTCGGCATTAAAAAGAAATTATTTTGTGACAAGACAAATTGTTTTCTTGCTAAGCTAATTCTAACAGTGCATCATCAAAGACTGTGTAATGCTGATTCAAATTATCTGTATCTAGTCGAAATAACGAATTTTTTCAGACTTCAAATCCCATATCCACTATATAGCATTATATAATTATACAATTACACTTATCAACAAAATTTTTCTGTTGAAATCACCAAATTTAATTAAAATTTAATAGTTTCATTCAAATAAATGAGTTGCATTTTAAACAACTTGCGCGTAAGAAAAGAATATTTACTTGAAATCGACTTTGCTTGGGATTTCCGCTACTAAAAATTTCCAAAAAGTTTGCTTTGTATAAGTGAAAAAATTAACTCCCTTCGCTAAATTTAAAACTTAAAAATTATTTGTAGAAATTATTATACTTTTCATTTCATGTAACGAGTGTTTTGCAAGGAGAAATAAGTAAAATGCGTTTTCTTGCGCTTGACATGTCTCACAGAGCAAAACTTCAATTTGCATTCCATTATAGTATTCCGAGAAAATGCCGTCGATAGTAATTACCCGCCTGGAATGAAATCACTTTCGAGGAAGGTGGGTGGCAAACGCACTTAACCGTCCTTCTACGCCGACATCATTCAAGAAGTGTCTTTTGCGCTGGGATAATAAAAAATAGGAAAAAATCACAACGCTCTCTATTACAAGTCGGCGTGCACAATATGAATTTTATTGCCGCTCCTCTCTGCCTTAACAACAATTCTCGCATATGCACAAGAGAGCGGAGCAAAAAAGAGGAATGGTGCTCACACCTTTGTGTCAATATTATTTCTTCTCGCCCGGTGCTCCTCACTCTCTCTATCTCGTTCGTTGCGTGGCAGGTCCGAAGAGTAAACACGTATTAGAATGGAATAAAATATTTTGAGCTGACGAGGATGGCAGGTGCCTTTTGTCCTCTTTCTCTGTCTCTAGCGCTGTTTTGTTTGAACAAAGTTAGTAAAAAAGAGCACCAGGCCAGGGAAGTGTAGAAAATGCACATTTTTTGAAAGATAACCATATTTTAAATCAGATGAGTAAAATGCAATAGCATAAAGTACATAGAATCATATTGATAGTTATTAATTGAAATTATAAATAGTTTGAAGATACATATTTATTAAATGCGATGGGATTGCTGCAAAAAGCAACACAAAGATGGTAGAATTTATCAATAGCTGCTGAAAATTTTGTTTTGAATTTTTTATATTAAATATCTTAATATTTTCAAAATAAAGTACTTTAAAATATTATGTAAATCTAGATTTTTTGCAAATAAAACTCTATAAATAACTTTACATGAATCAAAACCAAATAATATAATATATAAAATTATTTAATGTAATAAAATGAAATTAGTTACAGAGTTTTATTACTTATATTATATATTATGTCTTGTTTTTGAATAAAACTTACAAGGTACACTTGCATTTTAAAAGATTAAATACATAACCCAGTTGTTCCAACTTTACTTACATATGACTAACATAGTAAAATGATAGTAATTCGTGGCCCGGTAAGTAAAATTTTACAAAACTTACTAAAGAATTACTAAACATTTTACTAAGGATAGTAAAAAGTGTTTACAAACACATTACTAAAATCTCTTAGTAAAATTGTTTGTAAATTTTTTGTAATTTGAGTTTACTAAGGACATTTGGTTGTCCGCCCCCGCACAAGATCGGCGCTGCTCTCCACCTGAGCGCCCAACGAACTTTTAGAGCACATTTTTGATAAGTGTGCAGAGTGGGTGTGTTATGGCCGCAGCCAGTGTTATTTTTCTTCTTTTGTGCGGTGAATTAAACGCGGATGGTCATTTTAATACAACGTGCGATGTGCAAGAAAATTTCCATAAGACGATGAACTGCTTTGCATCCGTTTTCGGCCAAAAGCTAGCTCAAGACGAGTAAAAAAATACGCCGGCGTCTGCCCTGCTAGAGCGCACCTCCATCATCATCGGGCCCCGTCGTAGCAAAAGGCGATAGCGACAGCCGACTTGTTTTCCACTCGCGTCATCTCTGCGCTCGCGGACTGATTTTTTGAAATTATTTAAGGTAAGCTCTATTTAAATAATTTAGATCCAGTGATACACTAAATTGTTATCTGAAAATATTAATCTACCCAAAAAATATTAAATTGTGTTTTAAAATTTTCAGTTCAAGTCAATTCCTCGATCGAGAGACTTTCTATAAGATCATCTATAATGGAAACTCCGTTCAACCTCCTCTGATTGTAAGCTACGGACTATTACAGGTAGTTAATTTGTTTTTGTATATTTAATAATACAATCATTAAATTCCAATTAAATTAGAGTACATACACGTGAATGATAATTATAATTTTTTTTTTCAATTTTAATATTTAATTCAATCTGGTGTATAATAATATATTTTTTTGTATTTTTTTTTTCAGACATCGTGACCTGCCAAGTTAGAACAATTTGCTTTGAGGGAGAAGATAGTTCCACGCAGATCCACGCAGTGCAATTATTATCCTTATTTATGATTTCTATACTGTAATTGTGTTGTATTTAAAAAAAAAATGTGATACCGAATTGAAAATTTTTAAATAAAAGGATCTATGAGATCAATTAAAATTGAATCAATATTATTTTAGTTAAAGCTTTCCAGTACCATAGTAAAATGATAGTAAATTTAAATTACTAAGACTGACAAACAGGTTAGTAAAATGTAAGTAAGTTCTTTGTAAATGGAAATTACTAATGTTAGTAAAATGGAATTACTAACGTTGTAATCCATTTTGCTACAAAGCGTTAGTAAATTGTTTGTAATGTGTTTTTACTAATCTTAGTAAAAAAGGAACAACTGGGAAATATTTAAAAATTATCAAGAGACTTTTCTGCCTCGTTGCTTAAATTTATTGTACTAAATTTGACATATTCAACAAGCAGAATCATACCATTTTTAAACATCCGTGTTATCATTATCTATTATTTTCAGTATTTCCTTTATTGAAATTAATTTCTTACTGAAAATTTGTAAAAATACATAAAGTATTTATAGCTTTTGTCGTGAGAAATGTAAGCAGAATTGTATATATCTCGAGATATGGCGTTGAATGCATTTTTGCGCTTTGTACTTTTCCATTCAATTCTCGGACGGCGCTGTCATTGTCGGCGTCGCCAAAAATAGAACTCGAGAAATGACTCTCGCGAATCGCCAATACAACAATAATGGACGTTTGCAGTCAGACATCATTCCCACTCTATTATATGCCATATCGAATGCTATATTCCCAGCTTGAGAACGGCGCGAACCCCGTTACTGTCTCCGGCAATCACGATGGCCCGTGTTTGCACCGACAAGAATTTTGCCTTCATGTGCTCGCGGATGAAAAATGGAACGGGCGAAGAGCCCGGGCGATTTGTCACTGCCCTTTATTTCGGCTGTTTGTTCAAAGTGTGGGCCGGATTAGGGGTGGGCGCGCTCGGTGCATGGAGTGCTGCTTAAAATATTATCCTCTTGTCGCGCAGCACTTCACGCTCATATTCTAAATTATGAATACATATTCGGCCGCGCGGAGAGTGACGCGCCGAGCAACAAGTGCTTTGCTCTTTGTGTAACTTTGGTTATTTATGCGACGCCTCGGTCGCGCTCGTGTGATTAGATAAATTGCTCGTTTTATTGGGGCCCACACCCGCGCCCTTCCAAAAAACAACGTGCAGAGGATCGGCCATTCAAGTTACTCCGCATATATTTTGTTGCTATATTATTATAACTTTGGATATGATTTAGAGGTTCAAGAAATTTTGAGCTCTGCCATAAAGCATTGGAAATTATTACTTTCTGAAATTATTATGAGCTGTACTTTTGAGAGTGAATTTTATCATTGCAAATGTAAATTGCTGTCTCTTGAACAAATATTTCGCAAAAAAAAAAAAAAATGCAACAATCAACCTCTGTAAGAATTTAAGATTGTGGAAAATTTACTCCAATTAGCGCTTCAATGGGCTGGTTTAATTGTTATAGAAAAAAAATTGGATTAATAAACATTCTTTCTTGACTTCATAAAATTCAAAAACATTGTTTAAAGGTAAGAAATGTTATTTTTAAAATGTTTATAATCTAATTTCTGTAATTTAAATTAAAATCGTTTAAAATTTACAATAAAAACAACTGCTACACAAATTCAAAGACTGGTTTTACAAAATTGTTGTTATAAAAAACTTTTCCAAGTATAGGCAAATAAAATAAAAAGCTTTTGTTCTCCTAACAAATCACAGTTATTCAGAGTTAACAGAATTGTATTAGATATGTTCATTGAAAGTTGAGACTTCTTAATGGCAAATAGTCAAATAATTAATTTGATCAAAATCATAATCACTTGAGTTTAAAATAAAATTTGATGTCAGGTTCAAATTAAAATTTTTCTAAAATATGAACTTTGTTGCATGCATAATTTAAAAAATAATTTTAGTTCTTAAAAGTCTGTATTTTTTTCATTAGAGGGTTAACCGATTTCATATCTCTTTTTGAGACTAAAATCCCATTGTAAAGAGCATTTTGAACTCATTGCCAGCCATACTATAAAATGTAATCAGGTCTTGTTGCATATTATCCTTTTTCCACTCAAGCGCGAATATTTGAGAGACCCCGCGAGAGCGCACGACCGGCCGTTTGTTATTTGAGTGATTTTCATGTGTGATGAAGCTGATGAATTACTTTGGAGGAGTGCTCGCGGGACAATGGAGGACGTGAAGCGTTCCTTGCGCCTGCCGAGGGCCGATGAACCCTTTGATGGAAGCTGCTCTCTTTGCCGACAGTCACCATCATTACGCTGCTCTCGAACGGCGCGGCTACGCTTATCAGCAACCGCCTCTGACATCAATCATACCCATAGCTCGTTTTCTACCCAGCACTTACTTACCCACGACTCGCTTGCAAATAGAAAAACGGGCGGAATGTTTGCAAATTTCATTCATCACTGACGCTCACAATCAGCGTTTATAAAAAATTAAATAAAAAAGCCAATTTTGCATCGTTCAAAAACAAATTATAATTACAAATAAATTTTAATGAGCATGATCTTGATTGAATAAATATTTCCAAGCGGTGGTATTTCTAACGCTGACCTTTCAATTACGAGACAAAGAACAAGGTAAAAAGAGACAATGGCATCTTCTAGCCCTTATCAAAGCAACTAGTCCTGCTTGGTCATTTGGAGCGTCCAGAGTATTATATTGTATCATTTGCATGACTCGCGGGGATCTGAACGCGCGATATCAAAGACTGAAATAATGAGAGCGGATTTATTTGTTTTAGCCAGGCTTTAGCATGACTGTGTGCATTTAATGAGAGGCCCGACAGAACTACCTCCGCACCGACTTTTTTTCAGCCAGAGGGAACTTCCACAATGGATACGAGGTCTCAGTCTATTTTTTTGTATGTTCAAATAAAAAAAATTATTATCGTCTTAAAAAAGATGACAACAATTTTCAATTGTCTATAAAAAAAACCATAAATATTAATTTAATGCAACCGATATGTAAGGGTTTTATACTAAAAAGCACAATTTTGAGAACGCTTTTTGTCCTATATTGAAGAAAGTTATCATTGTTATATTTATATCTAATTAATCACAAATGACAGTGCTATCTTTTTCTCTATCCCTCTGCTTTATTATTTCAAAATTTTGACCTCATATCTAAAAATATCCTTAAATCAGAAGCATAAATTATTTGGATTATCATTGCATGAATAAGAACTGTTTGCATTGCTTTATAAAAAAAATCAAAAGATAGAATGAAAATGTTTTGAATTAAATTTAAGAATATTAAAATTTTAACTGTCCTATTAAATATAAATTAAAAGTTTGGAAAGTGAAAAAAAGTATATGAAAATATTTAAATTCTGGCCTGAATAAATATTTTTTAAATGAAAATTTGGAAAATTTATATATGATTCCTAATAATTTGAAAATTTAATAAAAAATAAATATTTACTAACTGTAAGACATGTGCTGGTGTTCCCCGAGGGATTGGGCGGCCAAGTCGAAGGATGATAAATTGCGCTTGTCCATCGCAGCAAGATGTCCCCGACCGGCTATCCCTTCATACACACACACAGCTTGCGCGCACCTCTAAATAAATAAATAGACTCGCACATGGACAAGACGGAGGGTCACGACTGGTTGAGGAAAGCAAGCCAACAATACCGCCATTGTTCGGTGATTAACGAACAATAGAAATGCTTTGATAAATTTAGATAAACTACCTGCTATGCGCTGCTTTTTGCTCAAATTCGTCGCAGGGGTCGGTGGAATCTAATCACCTTACCGACACCGCGCACTGCAGCGTTGCTTCAACTCCAGTTTGAGAAAACGGGACCTTTGCTTTAAATGGGTGGTGCAAATAATCAATATGTCGACAAAAAGTCCAAGCACGCATTCTGTAAAAAAGGAACATTGAAACTTAAAGACTGTTTAAAATGAATGAACCGGCAAATTTTCTGCAGCCCAGTCTAATATTTTGGTGCATGATCTGCAAATTCTTGAAACCTCCGGTCCGAGCCATTCAGCGCGCGTTTATTTCAATGTCCGCCAATTATTTTTCATTGTCGTCTCTCATTACTATCATACATTATGTTCGCCGACTTCTCTAAGCGGAATGCGAATCAATAGGATTTTGCCGCGGCGTGCCTCTTTGTCATGAAATTTGTGACCCTTTATCCTGGTTATTTAATTCGTACACACACATTGATTGTTGCTGGATGATCTTTCGGAATGCCCGCCAGATGCATTCAATTTATTGTGCGACAGTCATGCCGCTGACATCGATATCCTTGAAATTAAATTTACCTGCCAGCGACCAACATGCTTTTCACATTTTTGAAGTAACCGCTTACCAATGAGAGTCCGCAGCTCCCTTTCAGCTTTCAGCCTCAGTCAAATGAACTGAATTAAAAATATTTTTATTTATTATTATTGTCACATATAAATTGTAATATATTTAATTTAAGCAACCATCCGCTGTATTTGTGAACAGTAATACGCGTAATTAAAAGAGATATTGCAGTTTTAGTTGAAATATAATTTAAGTACTTTTTATCTTGACTAATCTTTAAATTTATAAAGAGCACCTGCTTGTCTTTATCTCAACAGTTTTGAGGGTAGAGTGCTAGTGAGTGCATTATAAATTTGTGTCCTCAACCAAAAATGTTCTCTTTGTTAATTCGATCTTCTGAGGGAAGCAAACGTATTTTACAATGGCTCCTGTCAAGCTCACCTACTTCAAAGCAACTGGCATTGGAGAGCACATAAGATACTTGCTTTCTTACGGTGGCGTTGAATTTGAAGATTTTCGCGTCTCTACAAATATGGACGAATTTGCCAAAATGAAAGACAGTTAGTAAAATAAGGAAGAAAAATTTATTATCTAGACGAGAAAATTTTTAGAACTTCCATTGGGTCAACTTCCCGTTCTCGAAATTGAAGGCAAAAAACTTTTCCACGCGGTTTCAATTGCCCGCTTTCTTGGAAATAGATTCAACCTGGTAGGTGATGATGAATGGGACAGGGTGACTTGTGATCTTGCTGCTGACACCATTACCGATTTGAGAATGGGTAATTTTTTACGACATTTAATAAAAATTAAATTATTAAAAAAAAATCCCAGCTCTTGCCCCGTTTGCTTATGAAAAAAATGAGGAGGTAAAGAAGCAGAAACGAGACGAGGCTTTGACCAAGGCAAAATATTTTGTTGACAAGCTCGAAGGATTCCTCGCCAAAAATGGGGGCCACTTTTTGAAGGATGAGAAGGTGAGGGAACAAATTAACTTTGTTTTTAAATAGATAATTATCTGAAATTTAAAATCCGATGCAGTTGTCTTGGGCCGATATTAAGCTTGCAGCAATTATTCCCTACCTTATCCACATGACAGGAGGTGAAGATATTTTTGCAGAGGCCCCCAAAATCAAAGCCCTGAAGGCTAAGGTCGATGCTTTGCCAGCAATCAGCAAGTATTTGGCAAACAGGCCAAATGAAGCATTTTAATTGTGCAACTTTATTCAATGATAGCATAAAGTTTAATGTAAAAATTGTAAGATTTTTTCATTTTTTTATTAAGGACAAATGTGCAAAATAAATCCATTCAATAAAATAGCTTAGAAGATGGATATGAAAATAAAATCTAAAAGAAAATTTAATTTTGGCTTTACTAAAGTCAAGTCATTTTTAAATTTAGAGTCAGATTTAAGATTTAAGTGAGTACTTGACTGATCATTATCTGTATTAGCACTGTGCTTAAACTAAAAGCATTTCTTATCAATTTCTTCAAGATCTAGATTGGTAAAATAATTATCAGAGTTCTGAAGGTCTCGGAGAACTAATAGATATTAAACTAATTTTCATAGAGCGTGGTAAATTTTTATTAAATTAAAATAATTTTAAGTTTATTGAAAAAATAATTTTTTAAATTAAAATAACATGATTGTTTTGCTTGCATCAGGGATTATTTTTTAATTTATTGTATATATTCTATAGGAAAAAAAATGATCAAGAAGTGTGTAAATAATTATATTGGTTTGCATAGTTGACACTCTTGACACAATACCAGTTTGCTGTTATGAATGCAGTTTCTATAAAAGCCGCCGTTGGGTAATTATATTCAGCCGCCTCCGTGCGTCCCTCCCGCTCTGAAAACTCGCGCACAATAAAAAAGCCCACGCTAATTGGTCTCTTCGATTCCTGCACAAAACATGTTCACGCGCCCCTATCCTCCAAATCCATCTCCATAAACTTACCATACGCTCTTCCAAGCAATGCATTTAGCACGTTTACAATGTGCAACAAATTTAATTTCCAGCCTTATTATACAATTACAGCATCAGTCCCACGTAAGTCATAAATCTTTATTAACAGATTTATTATTTTTAATTATAAAAATGCAAAAGACTCAAATAAATTCAAAACAATAAGTAATACACGTGCACGGATTTATTTAGCGAAATATCATGGAATGAATTACTTTTCTCAATTCACATTTTAAAATGAACCTTGGAAATTCTGTACGAGTTGTATAAAAATGAGTTGATCAGAGCGATTTCACAATCGGTTTGTTTAAAATGAGTTTATAATTCTTGCGAAACAATGTCTTAGCAATTAATTAATGAGTTTTATGATGCAGTGCTGAGAGTAGAACACATACTACTTGAGAAAACGCCTTAAATATATAAACCATTTAACGGAGACACGACATTCTGCGCTAATTTAATTGGCCGTTGGAGCGGCCACGAGATGACATGCTTTTTATTACACAAAGATAACAAACACCTCATGCAGATTCCTCTCCCGTGAGCACTATTAAATCTAAATAAATCCTGGGAGAGAAGAAAGGTGCTGGCTCGGCCTCGTTCGCAGCTCTTTCTCTGCAGCAGATATAACGAGCTGTGTGTGTGTGTTTTTGTTTACTCGGCACCGAGAGTGCACGAATTTCGTGCAAGTTGCACTTGTGACGTCACTGGCCGGCGGATTAATTCGAATCATTATCGCCTTCATTATGAGCGCTGATAAATCATCGCGCTTTTTGTGCCGGCAGCACCGCGCTGCTGGAATTTTAATTGGCGTTTGTTGACCGAGGTTAGTGATGGCCGATGTGGATGTGCATGCGCCAGAAAAACAATCGCACACACAGGGACAATTGCACTTTGAACTTTTAAGTGGTGCGGCCGCAGGAGCGCTGACCAGGTTTATGATGAAAGATTATGGAGCAGTTCACCGGCGCCCATGCCCTCTCCAGAGAACAGCTCTAATAATTTTTCTCTTGCAATATTGTGAGGGAGTTTTATTTTGTATAGAGCCTTCTATATTGTAAGGATATACTATTTTCTGGAAAATTAACCTCAAGCTTTTGCTGGACTTTAGCTTGTACTAAATTAAGTTTAATTTTAAACTAATTTTTTGGTGTACTAAAAGGAAAACTCGTATGTAATATATTTTATTTTATTTTCATATTTCCTCAAATGCAACCCGCATGCCATCGGTGCTAAAATATTGCCTAAATCTGATTCTGAAGTGATTTGTATATAGTTTCTTGAAAATATATGGAGGACGCAGAATCGAGACACAATGATTTTTCTTTAAGTTGTTCACAACATAACATAATTTTCACATCAAATAAAAGAATTTCCACGAAAAATGAAAAAAAAAGATAAATATTATTAATATTTTTATTGTTACAAATTTATTGATGTTCTTGTACATATTTTTGTTTTTATTGTTTTTATCGTGTCCGTTTATGATCGTGGAATGTGAAAATCACTATGTAAATTTCCATAAGCACAGCTCATAAATTTGCTTATTTAAGCATTACGTTTAAAAGTCACAACATTTTCCTACAAGTATAGACGCAAATAAATAGAGAAATCTCCATACTTTACGACAATGTATCTGCCAAGGGGCGAATAAAACACAGAATTGATTATCATAGGCTCGCGATTTTACGAGTGATTTTATGAATCGAGCTTTATTATTTTCCTGTTTAAACAGCGCGTTATGAAATTTCATATCTACAAAAGAGACGCACGCGCTCGCCTTTGCTCGAAAGCAATAACTGGACTGTCAGTTGGATTCTTTGGACTGTGGTAGGTGTGAGTTCGCCTCGCTGTTAACGGCTAATTAGCCATTAATGAGAAACTGAGCTGCGGAGTGAGTCAGGTTGAGCGAGATGCAGATCTCGTGCGCAGTGTGTTGTCTTGATTAAGATCTTTGGAAATAATGCTGGCGCGCTCATGTAGTGCAACTCCAACAAATACACATTCAAATTAAATGCACACAAGAGAGAGAGAGGCAGAAATCGAAACCCACTTTTCTTGATCATTAATCATTGTAATTAATTAGAGAGATATCTTTACTATATGCTTGGCTAGAATAGTTGTATATTTCATTATTAACTTCTTATTACAAAAATGTTTTAATAATGACTAAATTTAACGTAAAACAAGTTAAACTTAAAAAGTACCCAAATTTTGCATTTCAATGCTGTGATTTGCCAAATAATCTAATTTTATGGATCTTAAAATTATTGGAAAAATTTAATTCTATTGTGCGGTAGTAAAATCTCATTAAGAAATAAATTATTAATTAATTAGGAGCTTAATTTATTAAGGACAATGATAGATTTTTTGAATTTTGGTTAAAATGACCGCATATAAAAACTTTAAAGATATTATTATGCTTTTAAGCTTTTATCAAGCAAATTCTTAATTTTTTATTCTCATTCTGCATTTCAATATGTAATTATATAATTTTCTCTGCAAAAACAAATTTATTTTACTTATTGTTTTATTTTTTCACTTTTGAGCTTTTCAAATTTTTTTTCTCAGATGGGTCCAGTGAAAAACTAAACAAGGTGGTCCTTGTAAACATAGCCGTGCCGGTCATTGAGCGGTTGGTGGCATTCTGCATTATTTACGTGGAGCAGTCACAGCGAGAGAGGAGTCAAGCGAGCGTGCGGCAGATCGAGAACGGCATTCCACCCGGCCGGCGCACTTCTCTATTATATTAAAGTAGTTGTATGTATATGCCGGGGCCGTGCGTTTCGGCCGCCTCCGTGCAGGTCCATCAATTACCGCCAATACATGTGCAAGACACCGGCACTCGAAAATGTCAATTACGCCGCAATGAGCGCGCTCGCCGAGAGTGAGTAATTAACGGAGACGCTTGACTTGCCATTTTTGATCGTGAGATCCTCTTCGGCTGGATCGGGGGCAGTGATAAAAGGATTCTGCCGATTTTGTTCACTGACAGAAGAACATGATCAAAAATTAAAACAAATTTTGAAAGGTAATTGCAATTGTGACAAACTTTTTGCTCATTTGTTTTTAATTATTTTGTAAATGCTTAATTGCAAAAAATTGGTTTGACCGTGAAATTTTTACATCGAAATACTTTAGAAAAATTTCTTTTTTATGCAGTAAAAAGGTAGGCAACGAGATTTACTCCTAAGCACAGCAGGTTGCCTCAATTATTTTTTATTATTTTTATTATTTCTTGAACTAATTACCAGTGCTTCTTCAAAATTTTAACTGGACACAAAATATCAATTGCTTTGCTCGTTTACTTTTTGTTGTTACCTCCTGCCCATGGGTCAGTTTTGTTAATGTAAAATAAAGTTTCCGTCTTAAAAAAATTGTTTTCTGTGACAATTTCATTTAAATAATTTAATTTTTAATGCTGCACTGCCCTTATGCAACGGATGCAAGTCTTGTTTTTGCCGAAAACAAAAAGCACCATACGTATTTTATTTTCTGCCTGGCAAAATGTAAACATAATCGCATCAGGTGGCTAACATAAGCATCGATTAGCAAGAACATGTTCAACTCGCCCTTTGGATGAAACGGAGAAGAGACTCTTTTGCATGAGTGGCTTTTCACTTGCGATTTGTCTCTACAAGTCCCTTGCTCCCCGCCCGACCCGTCGCTCGCCCGCTTTTCATGCAAATTTTCGGCCCATCGTTTTCTTATCTCTTTTTTTATTCTAGAAGAAGTGGAGCACCTCGAGTCTAATTTTTCCAGTAGCCTGCGCGTCTAATGCGTAGTTATAGATGGCGACTGCAGATAATTTTGTTTTAATTTCACCCATTTCCAATTACACACATTCCGACGAGAGCCTCGAGTGTCGCGTCGAATTTGTCGCTCGGCCGGAACGGCGCAAACACGGCTTTCACAGTCAGTTCTAATTTCTGCGAATGAGGCTGGAGAGAGGAAGATCAAAAGGAATTATTATGGGCGCAATAAAACCTCTAAAACAATATGCGCTCATCAGATAATGGGCGAGAGCGCGCAAAACTTTGCTTTATGGCTGGGCCACTAAAAAGATATGCCAATTAAAGCGATGGAGGTGGGAAAAGTTTTTATTTCTGATGAATTGCCTTGATATTTTCAACACCGCGAACGGAACGAGAGTGCCTAACAACGCGGATTATTATCCCGAGATAATAAAATATATCCCTAAAACTTTTATCTAACGGTATATTCTCCGAGACTCAAACCGGCCGTCCAAACGGTGATCTATTGAGGTGGAAACGTTTCATGGTTTTTTTTTTCGCTATAATTGGCCGAAAATTGATAATTTATTCAAAAGCAAGCAGCCAATTCTCGTATGTGCAAAAGATA